ATATTTGTGTTTGGATGTTTGTGGGTGTAAGAGCCAGGGATGAAATGTCCACAGAGCACTGCTATGTACTGTATACAATGGTTTTTGACCTCTGAGGTTGCCAAAACTGCAATGTCTATTGATTTCTTCCAGTACCGCTGTCCTTTTTTGGGCCGATCATGACTCTCATGGCCCCTGGCATGATTGTTATGCCACCAGTGAGGGCCCCATTGCATGCTGGAGCTGAACCTGTGGATTAGAACGAACTATCAAACCCAGGACGCCTTAGTTGGAGTTAAGTACCATCAAAAAGAAAACCAAAAGAACCTTGCTTCAAAAAAACAGCTCGGTAAAGCCATTTGATGCGCTAGAAAACAGGTGTAGACGACATGTTTAGTTGATGGTTGACAAGAATAACTCCCCTTCCGCATTCCGATGTAGGACTCATGTAGGACTCATCCGATGGAGGACGTGTGGGGGGTTTGTTCATCAACTGAGGCGTCGGCCTCCGCGCTCCCCTGGAACCAGGTGCGGACGCGCGCTCCATCCCTTCGGTCGGTGGAGGTGGAGGAACGCCGGGTCTTTGGGCCTGACTGGGTCATACTACCCAAGGAGACAGAACGATCAAGCAGCTTGGCGACCGGAGTCTAGTTGCATCCACCACGACTACAGAGTTGAAGTCCTGACTGAAAAAAAAAGTGTTTCTTCAGTCATGTGGTCCCAGGTGTGCCCTGTTCAAAATCACAGATGGGCGACAGCTCATGAGTGGTGTGAAGAGCACAGAAGGTCACAGAGGTATTCCAGGTCTCTTGATTTGTGCTGTGCGTTTTCTGTCCAATCCCAGTTCCTTCCTACCTGAATCATAATCATCCTGTTTATACATCAGATGTGTCACTTCTCCAAAACGATTGCCAAACATGTCTAGCTTAGACTCAGACATTGATTGGCTGAATGTCGGATGATCGCCCCCCCCCCCCTATCGGGTTGTTATACACAGATGTGCAGTCACATTATACAGAATCATAGACCAAATATCATCAAATATCTATATATATATATTATATAATTGTTAATTAGTTTAATTAGATAGATGGATGAATGGATTAATGGATGGATGGATAGATAGATAGATAGGTGGGTAGATATATAGATAGATATATAGAATTATATAGAGATAGATATACACCACACCCCAATTGGATCACCTAGCGAAGGGACCCCGGACGGGCTTCCTAACCTCAAACCGCCCCTAAAAACATGGTCTACAAATGGGACAGGGCCCCAGACTGGCCTCACATCGTTAGAACCAGTTTGGGATGAACTTGATGGTCCAACGTGCGCCAGGCCATCACCTGCGCCAGATCTGAGTGCGGCCAACTCTCCGGAACCGCAGAGCCGGGAGGTGGAGTGGCCACTGCCGGACCCCGCCGAGTAGCGCCGGCCCACCGTGAGTTCAGCGTGAGCGCCGGCGCTTGGTTTGGGCCTAAAGGAAAAGAGAGAGGAGAGTGGAAATGACACCTATACTGAAAAGATATTATATATAAATATACATATATATATATAGAGATACACAGTATAGTAGAGATACATACTGTGGAGAGACAGAGTCAATCCATCCTATAGTGCTAACTCCGCATCCCCTGGTGTCGAAAAAAGGCTCCAGCCCAAGCCTGGCAGACAATTTGTATCAATTTGTTGGATTCACCTGCCGCTTTCTTTTGTGCAGGTGTTGGAATTTGGTGCTTCAGAAGGACCCCATCACCTTGAGGAATGGGTTGAAACATGCCGACTTGGCCTGGGCAGATCAGACCAAGCTTTCCGCTTCCCTGTAGTTGTGCTCAGTAGACCTCAGGAATACCACGAATGTGAGTAAAATGAGCCGAGTGGCCTGTGGGTTCTAAGGTCTATGGTTTTGGATGTTGAATCGAGTTGCCGTTTCGACAGAACATGAAATAGAAAGGTTTGGTGACATTGCGTGCCACAGCAAAATGACCTATTCCATGTGCACATGTTGGACTGTACACATCAAACATCAGAATCATAATAATTAAGAGTTTTAATGTGTTTGACTACATGATTGTAATTATACAATCTAATTCGTTAATAGATATATATATATATGGTTTTAGCATGCATTGGTTTAAACTTCTTCGATCTTTTTGTTGCACGGTCTTTGGACGGTCCAGGCCGTCGTTCTAAGCCTTTTCTTCCCATGCAATCCAGGAGGATGGGAGGGCGCTGAGATATTCGTAGGATGATTTGTTCAACACGAACTCAGCCTGCGGCTAAACTCTCAAATCGACCCACGAATGGCCAGAGGAAGCGGCACATGGGGGCACCACTCACTGCGGCCCGTAGCATACTTGGTTTCCATCACTTGGCATCGTGTGGGGTCTAATTGGTGGAATCTCGCTAGCGCGGTCAACCGGAAGAGCGTGCTGGTGGTGCTCGTCCTCCACCTATGCTGGCAGAGAAAGGCTCGTGCGAAGAGAAAGGCTTGTTGGGCGAGCTGTGCCACATCAGTCTCATTCAGTATATAGCTCAGATCACGAGGGTGATAGAGACCTTAAAAAGGCTTCCACACACAAACGAGACCACCAGTGATCACATCGGCCTAGTGATCACTGTGTGATTTTTTTTTGGAGTGGGATTGTTTTCATATGTTTTCATGAAGGGGCCCCCCTTTGCGGGGCCAATCGCCGCATATCACTGCGATGTTTATCCCTATATATATATATATAACTGTGGTGGGACTGGATGGGGTGGATGGTTGACAGGAGAGAGCAGTTCTCCAACCGAAGGCACCTTGATGAAGACAATCTGAAGATGTGCTACAGTCTTTGGTATATATCGTCAAGATACGGAGCCAATCGTTGGCCGAACAACATCCTTTGCACCAAAAGGACGGCCACCGAAGACTCGGGTTCGGCGTCGACAGGGGGTGTTTGGCAAGGATGGTGTTTGGCAAGGATGAAGCTTCAGCTGGTTTGGCGCTTTTGCAAAGAGAACAGTCAGTCTGAGTCTCAGTCTGAATTTGGCGCATTGGATTGATTGATTCCGTGAGACAATCTCATTGCGAGTGGGGATCATGACGAACTCAGCATCTCAATGCTTGGTGCGGCACGCCCAGCAACACCTTCAGAGACAGCAGCGACCTTCAAAGCCATGACGGGGTCGCCGGAGTTATCGACACCTGCGGATTTCATTTGTCCCATTACGCAGGAGCCGGACATGCGGCACATTTATAGTTTAATGGTCAGTATATTGAATCACCGATGCAAAAACTGTTCCAAGATGTTCAATGACATGTTATTGTCGTTTTGTTTCGTTTTGCTAAAGAAAAGTAATCCCACGTACCTATTGAAAAAAACGCATGCGGGACACCCTAAATATAGCTTTGTATGTTTATTGTTTTTAGTCAACAACATTTGTTTTGACATGTTGTTAAATGCCCCCCCCGGCTTTTTCTATACCACTCACTACTCAAATTGCCCCCATATGGTCCTTTTGGGGCACGTTCTTTAGGTACCTATACCGACTACAATCACCAATTCGTTCCCATTGACATGCCACAATTTACGCTTGTGCACCCAGGCCTCCAATGGCACTTACCACCGTGGCCTCGCCAAATCTCATGGCACAGCGAAACCGCCTTTCGGTTGGTGTTGTTGTTAGTTGGCTTGAAAGTTTAAGAGCGGAAAAGATCGATTCTTTCTTAATATGCGGACGGGGTTGCAAGGGTCACAGGTCACCTCTTTGACTTGGAAATTGAAACACCAGGCACATGAGTTCTGTCCCTGGAAGATCCACGTCCAGATTCGTGTCAGTGTGCTTTTTTCAAAATGCAGCCCTGTTTTGAAGGCCTTGGGTCTTTTGCAGACCGTTCTATGATCTCAATTTGGCTTGCTCGCTTGTGGTCTTTCATATTTTTGCCTCATTCAACGGCCTTCTCGCATCGAATGGCGGCATAAAGACAGAGGACATCATGGAGGATCCCGTGGTGGCCGCCGATGGCGTGTCCTACGAGCGCTATGCCATCGAGCTATGGTGGAGGAATGGCTCGGATTCCAAAAGTCCAGAGTTTGCGAAACATGTAACAGGCAACAAGCAGAATTATAAACAAACATATATATCCAACCCAGGACCTTCAAAGTGACCCTTTGATATCCCAGGATGAGGTCACTTAGGTCTGTACAAGGTCACTTAGAGACTCCAAAGAGGTCATTATGAAGGTCCTGGACCGTTCATATTTGTCTTGGATTCCTGTTTGGCCCATCTTATAGATTCTAGATGTCCGGCCGGGAGAAATCCAGCTTGGTTGATTATGATATGATGTTAAAGTATATCTATAATGGATTATTATCGCGACATTTGCGTGTGTGCATGCATGCAATGTCATACATACAGATCGTACATGATCGTACTAGCATTTATGTAGCCATAGCCTCCTTAGTTTTGGGTTGTTCACATCCTTCCCGTGTCCTGGTTTTCCATAATCCTGCCGCGGGTTGTGTAGTTGCGATTCTCAGGTCATCATTCGAGCCCATTGACCAACCTCCCTTTGGAGCATGCCACTTGGGGAGTTTGGAGCATTCCACGACACCAACCGCGAGAAGACCCACCAGTGGTCGTGCTGGTCGCGCTGTTTCAGTGTTTCGAGTCTGAGACCCCGGGACCTTCCAGGGTTGGGTGGATCCATCGGCTCGATCTGCCGCTAGGGCCGCTAGGGCTTGACGGACGTGTGTACGGGCACTGGCCAGTCGTCAGACGGTTACTCAAGCTAGTTATGATTTCCGAGAGAAGCTTTTGAGGAAACTATTTCTATAATATTTATGTAGCCGCGGGCCGTGGCCTCAAGAAGAACATGCCTATAGTTTTGCCAGTCTCTCATGGAATCTCCCTCTGGAACATTTGGTTGTTCCTTCAATCCAAGGATTCGATGCTTGTAGATGATGGTCCGGCTTGGAGTCAGACACATTCTTCTATATATATATATATAATATAATGAATTTTAATGATAGGACGCACTTCCTCGTTGGAAAGACCGTGCCATTTGACCGAGAGAGAACATATCACACCACATCTACTTGGCACGAAGAAAGGGCTTCACAACGGCTCGATTGCCCTCAGAAGGCATGTCCTTCGTCCCAGGCCATGTTGTTGCCCAACCAGGCGCTCCGAAACCTGATTCAGGAGGGACACAGGACATCTTGGACCTTCACAGTCGTGACTTGGTCGAGTTTTGGTCTGAAACGTTAACCGACCAAAGAAAGAAGCAACACACGGATTTGACACGAAGAGAGGTGGATTCGGAAGAAGTTTGGAATTTCTACAACTGTTTCAGGCTGCTGTTTTGGTTGCTGAAACAAATGATGTTCTATGATTTTCTTCCAGCCCAACTCCTGATGGTTTCTACATGCTTCTGCAAGTTGCCAGAGTGACCCATCCATTTGTTGGAGGCTGCATGTGACTCTTCATCTTGAGGACTGTTTAAACGTGTTTAAAGGAATTATATATATATATTATATTGATAAGTCATTTGCAAACATAGCCGTGAATGGACACAACGGTGAAGAAACATAGGCCATGTCCTCCATACACGCTCTTGCTCTTCTTGCTGTGCTTTCATAACCCCAATGCTTAGAGAAGCTTAGACACATGCAGTGTTCAGCCATGCCCTTTACCTGATACAATTTGTTGGGACATGCGTGGTGCAGCAGAAAATGATAGTCTCAGGAAGAAGTCAAACAGCAATGTGGCCCATTCAGAATGAAGAAGCTGAAAGGCTCCAGCTTGACCTCTAAATATAGATATAGCCACCCGCAGAGTTGACCAAACATCAATCCAACAATCACTTGATGTCCGAATTTCCTGCATGCTGATCTACCAGGAGCATCTCAGCTCCTGGTCCCTCGAACAGCTGGACGAGCTCCAGCGCCGTCGCCAACGGGAACAGCGCCGCCTCCACGACGCGAACGGAAGCGACGCCGTTTCCGCCGTTCCCCGTGGCTCGCCGGGTTGGCTCGGGTTGCTGGCTGGATCGGTCGGGGGTTGGAGCCGGGTGGATCGAGGAACCCAAACATGGGGGAAAAGGAAGAGTCCAGCTTCGAGGAGCTGGGAAGATTTTGGATGCAGATTTGGCAGGATGTTGATATGATTTGGATGATGGAATCTGTGAACAGGGTTTAGTGGAAGACAGCTGTCTTCCAGAGCAATCTGTTTTTGGGAGTCGACATCGAGAAGATGAAACTTGATGAAACATGTCAATAATGAACTCATAGCATTGCAATGCCATACCGCACCATTGTCCTATTGGTTTCTATGTTGCCACCGTCTTGGAGTCTATTTATTTGCCCCCTGGTGAAACAGGAAAAAGACAAGGTGAAAAGACATCCCATATACTGTAGATGGACTTCATTCATGGACACATGAAATCCGTATGTTCAGTGAAGCACGATGCCGCCCCGGCCATTGAGGTTTCGCTTCCAACTTTTGCATTTCCACCCAAGTGATGCAGGCGTGGGTGTGTTTTTGCCTGCAAATTTGAATTTGAACAGAGAGAGAGAGAGATAGGAGAGAGTAGTAAATATCCCCGTTTGTATCCATCCCCAGTTTCCATCATTTTCCATCCCTTTTTTGTTTGCAGTCCAACGAAGTATCACCAGGGTCAGCGGTGCTTCCATGTGTCGGAGCAAAATATCGCCCTGCTTTATTTATTGCTTTGGAGCCTTGATGGCTTGAGCCGCCAAACACCTCCAGCCAGAAATAACAACAGCACCCGCAGCGTTGTGCTCGGAGAGGCCAGACCAGTTTCTAGACGTTTTTGGAAAGCTTTGTACTTATCCCAATGCCCGTGCGCACCACCGTCGGCCTTTAGTGTAGTGCATTTTGTAGCGCCACTGTGCCACAGCCAATGCTACAATATCGAACTGGCTGTCCAGTCAAGGCCAAGGCATGCAAACTCATTTTTGCCCCCTTGGTCTTCACTGCTGCTTGCCTGAAAATGCGCAAATTTGCTTCTTCTTCGGTCTACAGTTTGCCGCGCTTGTACCAGGCATTGACACAAGAAGGCGCATTGAACTTTGATAGAAGTTGGATGATTGAAAAGGTTGCAAGATTGCGACAGACGTTTTCAGTTTAGATCTTTGCACCTGAGGGCTTTTCAACAGAAAACCTTCCTTGTCCATTCTGCACATTTTTCCTTGGTGTTTCTTCCATCTTCTTCCTGGCTGTTTTGTTCCACCACGTTCATAGGAGAGGGGTCAAAAACATGTTTCCGGATCAAGAAACATTTGCCCGGGTCAAGAAACATTTGTGCGGATCAAGCATGAGATTTTCCGCATCAAAAACAAAAAAGAAAGAAAGCGAGAAAGAAGGAAGGAAGGATCATTCCTGACGCCCGCAGATGCCGAGCTTAAAATTTGCTTTTCTTGTAGCTCGTGGTTCGGTGATTTTGACAACAGCAATCATTCTATGTGAGATGCTAAATGCATTGCATCTCACTGCTGTCCGGTTTCCGACGGAACTATTGTACATGTTTCTGCTAGCACCTTGGCGAGAGTAAAGTCATCAGTAATTCCCTTTGAATTCGTCCATTTCTTTGCTCTGTTGATTTGTTTGTTCTGCTATTCTTGGGGGAGGCGCTGCGCCCTCCTCCCAATCCCTCGTCCCTTTGAATTCTTCAATTTCTTTACTTTGATTATTTGTTTGTTCTGCGTCTTTGGGGGGAGGCGCGGCTCCCTCCCCCCATTCCCCCCTCAAGTTTCTATTGCACGACCAAAACGGTCTCCACATCCCTCATTGCACCTTACCACAAACTAAGTTATCTAAATTACTGTTTATTGTCCTTCGTTCCTTGGCTTTGATGTTTGCTTAGCTACTGAAGTCTTACAGACACCAGTCTCATCTCATTTCTTCAAAGGTAAGCACTGCCTACCACGGAAGTTCACCAGACACATTCAAAAGAGAGTGAAGCTTTTGGTTGAGTTATTGTTTAGTTGCCAAGCACCCCTGGTCTCACCCTCTGCACCTTAGCGAAGGTAAGTCGTTTAAGTCGCTTTGAATTATTCAAAAACAAGGAGGATCAACCATAAATGCAGCGGATCAACAAAAAATGAACCAAATTCAACCAACCTAAGCCATAGCTCTTCTTTGATTGATAGTACGATCATTGACTATTTATTTTAGAATCAGTCCTGCCCGGATTTGCAGCCAAGCAGCTTGTGAATTTAGCAATGGCCTGTGGATTGAACACAAGAGATTGAAGTGCAACAAGTTGGAACAGGCCCATGCGTTATTTCATGATTGATCAGGCTCACCTTGCGCAAAAGCTACGACGTGTCCGATTCGGCATTGTTCGGTGCAAACATGTGGTTGGTTGATCCGCGTTGTTTCGTCTTTGCTGCATGTATTTGTTGTCCATCTACATCAATTTTTATACTGATTTATTCATCCATCTATTTACACTAACCATTGTTTGTCTATCCAACCAAATGATCGCATGATCTATATTTGTCGTCTATCTACAGTACCTCGCCACTTACCTATGCTGCCTATGCCTACCTCTCTCTCTCTCGCTATATGTACAACTATATATATATGTAGTATGTACATTTATTGTTGCACAGCCATTGAAGTAGCCATTGATGCTTGGGCACCTTTGTGTGCTTGCCCTGGCGGGCCGGATTTTTACCAGTTTGACCGTTTGACTGTTACTGTTGTCCGACGAAACCAACGATTCCCCGAGGTCGCTTGGATCAACCCCCGGGTTTTGGCCCCGAAAAAGGGCCAGGTCCGTCCAAGATGTGCAGGACAGCCATCCGGCCTTCTTGTTGCTGGCCTTGAGCCGCCGCTTGCTGTGAGATGCTGGCACCCCGCCGCACTTTTTCAATCTAACTTGGAAAAGTGGAGAAACCCGTCCAAGTACCGATTCCATCGGTGCTGTGACATGAGGCGTGCGTTCGAGGTGTTTAACCGCTGGTTCTTTTGACTGAAACATGCTATTTTCCTACCTCCTCGGTGGATAACTGGATAACCTTTAGCCGTTTTGTGGGGAATTGGTTTCCTCAACAAAGAAGAGCCCTTTTTTGCCCAGGGAAACTGAAGGAGGGAGTATCAAATCCTCAATTCAAACAGTAGACCAGATGAGATTCATGGACAGAAATGCCAGGGAACGCGTTACTTAAATGAATCCAATTTGCAATTTCGCTGATAGAACCTCTCTTTAAAGCTGTCCATTCAGATTTGTCTCTTCGAGACTCAGTTTCGCGTTCGATTTCGGCGTCCGGGCTCCGTTGTGCGGTTCCGCTGTGCTCGGCTCAGCTCGGCCGAGAACACCAGTGGAACCCCAAAGGGTTCCGCAGACCCGTTGGATACGGACGTTTGGACAACCTCGCGATTGCACTAGCTGGAGCACCCTTGACACATTCATCCAAAAAAGAGAAGACTCAGACAGGCATTGATTCGAGAAAGGCACTGGTCGCTGATCTTTGGAAGCTCTTGACGTGAGTGAGTGTCTCCCTCCAAACAACCGTGCGCATTCTCATTCTCACGGGTTTGAGCGAGATTCCATCCCCGCCATTCAAGACTGGGCACAGTCGTCTAGACAATGGTGAGGTTCCACTGGTGGCAATCTCGCTCTATGTTGGATAAGATAGTTATATAAGTTCATTCCCTACTATATATGTATATGGAGTCTAGTGCTTAAAAAATATATGGAGTGCGAAGTTCGCTGGAGGACAGGGAACACCCGGAGATATCTACAGTATAATCCTGGCTAGAACCATGGTTAACTTACAGGGGGTCCTGTGAAACGCTTGGAGCTCACCGAGCTGAGAGAGGAGGGAAGGCGGAGACCCTACACCCAGATGCCCAACAACTCCGCAGGGTCTTTTTGGGCGGTGCCCAGAATCTCAGGTGAAGCCCAGCTCACCCCTTTTCAGAATAAACAGAGATGCTGCATCTCCCCACTCATTGCAGCGCGACGAAACACTAAGCCGCCAACCGTGGGCACACTGCGTCGTCCGTTGATGCGCGGTGCACGTCGCCATGGAAGAGGAGCCCAATCCCAAGTTGGAGAGCCCAGTGGGGGCGGCTGGACGAATGGAGCGGCGAAAACCGACACAAAATGAGGGAAACGTTGGGTGGAATCTTTTGGACGTGGCCTCAGGGGCACGGTGATCATTCCACAGCGGATCCACGTATAAGGCATGGGGATGCATAGGGTGCAAAGTGGTGCAAAAACTAAGACAGAGGGTGGCTTTTGGAACCAAGTGAAACCCTGATGTGGCTCGTGACAACTTCTACCAGCTTGGGCAATTTTTGGGCTTCTGTGGCGCCTGTTTCGCCGAGACGTCTCGTCCATGGGTGGCAGGGCAGCGAGTGGAGACATCGAGTCCCACACCGGGGAACCAAGTAATGGCCTGTTTGTCGGGTCGGACCCTAGTACTTGAGCCCAGCTTTGGGTGCGTTGTCCATGTTGTATATTAAGGCCTCGTTTGAGCGGGCGATCTCGAGCCTGAAAACACGTTGAAAGTGAGTGTCGTGGGAGCCCAAAAACGGGAGATAACTAATAGGAGCCCAAAACGGTAGCCGAAACCCCACGGTTTCCAGCGCGGCGCTCAGGTTCAAACTCTATGGTTTGCTGCAGCGTTTGCTGCGACGACAGCCCACCTCCACGGACATCGCACCTGGGATTTGTTCGGCGCACCGGAGGAATCGCAGCGAAAGAATGGTCGGCCCAATGAGATCAAGATACATGATAGATTTATGGCATTTAGCATCATTTAGCATCATGTAGCTATCAGGATATATCCATATAGCGGATGTGAATATGGAGTCAAGATGATCCAAAGATGCTACGTCATAGTATATCATGATCAAAATTAATGTTCTAGGGTGTTGGCCACATGTTTTGTTGTTCTTGTGTTTGTTTGTATTGTTTCTTTTGCTTAGCACCACCCCACTTAAGCATAGCCTCCTCTAACAATGAACCATGCAGACGACTTCCCTCCACCATGCAGGGCCATTAGAATTGGAAACTATTAGAAACATATTTGTCAGCTAAACATATCAGGAAAAGACAACAGGCAGTACAAGATGGACACAACAAGGGCAGTACAAGATGGACAAGATTGAAATATATAGATTGTATATGCCATACATCTTACCGGCATTTTCCGATCTCTTGCCCGTCGGGACACAAAACGTACCACTCTGCAAGAGCTGGAAGCCATGGATAAGGATGGTTTCGTGTTCATTCCTGACGATTTGGCGCACACTTCGTCTTTGGACGTCCGGACATTCCGGCCGATGTTGGTTTGGGCAGCGGATGCACTTATAGTCTATAGTGTAAAACAAACTCCTGGACATAGGGTACCATCACGAAGCGCAAGGGGAAGGTGTGTGTTTGTGGCACTCAAGTTGGATGGCCTCTATAAGTGCTCAAACCGCTCCAGGGACGACAACTATGTTCATTGCAACGGCTCAAGCTGCCCACAAGCCACCAGCTGTCGCATATATGGAAAATCGCTTTTGAATTTGATCATGGGCCAATGGGGACTCGGGGACTAAGAATTGAAGAGGCTTGATCCTATCGTTAAGGGCCTTCCATTTTTGGAGTTGAGCCTTTGAACTGACGGAACTTTAGGAACTTTAGGAGACACTTTCAACGTTCTATTCATGTAGCGCGTTTAGCATAGGCTGCCGTACTGGCTCATTTGGTGCAAGTGGCAGACTCATCCCAAGGTCCTTTGAGGAGCTTTTTGTTCCAGCTATGATCCATATGACCTACCAACCGGCGATTCACCTCTCCGAGATGCGAACTCACGCTTGTACTGCTCGTGTTCCCGGCCGTTTCTGGTCGTTGAGTCTCGGGATTTCTCGCCTCGTGGCATCCATGCATTGGTGGCCCAGGTCGTTTCGCATCAGTACCTTGGAAGAATTTGGGCCAAATCGATCGAGCGGAATCACGAACGGCAGGGACAGTCCCTTTGTCTTAGAAACATCTGGAAACCATGCGACCCCGAAAGAAGGCGGTTAGACTCCCAGATTTGGCAGAAACATGTACTATATAATATGTTAAATGTACAATTGTATAGGTTGTATACATATTAACATATATATCCATGCACTGTACATAGGTACAAGTTGCCAATACGAGTGTTCCAAAATGGCTGCTGCAGGGCTCTCCGGAAAAGACCCAATGCCCCCAGACTTGGATATATATATATATTATATATATATATGTGTAATATATACAGAAAAGTCAACTAACAGAACAGGATTGTCACAACCTTGAACGGCTCAGCTTGAGCATTTGTGCTCAAAAGGTTCGCTGCATGCAGCGTTTTGTTGAATTGCGTACATGCTCCTCAAGACAGCCAGTCAAGGTAATTTAGGTGAGATCACTGGACAAAATCCTGCACCATGTAGAAGCCTGCATTAAAAAAACAGCAGTAACTTAAAGTGTGTCCATTAATTTCCTCGATCTCGAGTGGTGCAGACTGTATAATTCTTTCAGGGTAACAGCGTCTTTTCTGTGTGTTGGCCTCCATTCGAGACTGCCAGCGACCCAGTTCGTGACCTCGCGAGATCAAGTTCGGTCACGTACTGACGGTCCTGGTATAGAAGGTGTTCTTCATCCGATCACAGATGATCTCTATGTCTAGATCGATGCTCCAAAGCGAGACACCCACATGGGGTCGAAATCGATGTGTTCCATTTGGCCCGCTGATGGGGGGGGGCACTGTTGCTTGAAAGATCTTCGACTCCACTGGGCCCTGGGGCGACCTTAGTCGGGCGTTTTTTGAACATGGCCCGACTCTTCGAGCCAAAATATCTCCAACTATCACAGTTGCTACATGAGTCTGATAGGTGTGAAGCTTAGTCTGTGATATCTATACATCGACTCAAACATGCGCATCATTTGTTTGAAAGCTCTGAACGTCATCTCACCGTTTCTCGGAACAGTCTTAAGACCTGCCGCATCCTGCCGCCTAGGCTCGTCTTCACGGCTCCGTTTCGCCGGATTTGGCCGTGTCAAGGTCTTGGGAGGTTGGGATCCAAGCCACCGTGACCTTGGCCTGTGCTGAGGCGAGGGGTTCTCGTCAAAAAGTGCATCCATTTGCTCGCGTCGTGAGGTATCTCGTGCCGGATCCGGGTTGACCTGTAATTGCATGGACTACTGAGGATGTCAAGCTCTTTTTCGGGGGCTGGTGTCAAACCACAGTTGTGCCAATGGCATTGGTCTACCAGGCTGAAATGCGATGATTCCATGGGTTTGCTTCATCATAGCCATTAACCGTTCCTTTTGCAGAGTTGAAAGTATTCCAGGAAGCTGCAAGACCAAGTTTGGGTGAGAGTCGGTTCAGTTCGGATGGTTCAAGGTAGGAGGATCACTGCCTTTCGCATGAAACGGGCCTGCATCCTTCATGAATTCATTTTTATGTCTTACTGGGTCCGTGCCTTCCGCGGTAAGGTCCGTTGAACACGTTGAACTTACAATTAAGATTGATAAACACAATATATATATATAATTATTGTATATGATTGTAAGCTCTACGTGTTCAGCCGCTTCATTGCCTTCGGAGCCTTGAACTTGCCCACGGAGCCCGTCTGCGCAGACGGTTTGCGCTTGTCCAAACGCCGTGCCCGCCGTGCGCTCAGGGCCGAGAAGCGTCTGGAGAGCTTTGCCAGACGAATTATGAGGCGGAGGAAAGTGCCTTCCAACAGGACGGGACTGGACCTGTTTCGGTGCGGTTCTTGGAAGACCTGCGGTTCCTGTGGCCCCGTTCAGGGCCTGGGGCCTGGGGTTGGCCACAAAGACTGGAGGCAACATGAGAAGGTGTGGAAGTTCGGTTGAGCAAGTCATGGGTCTACCTTCGATGTCCCAAAGACCAGGCCTG